TTTTCTAAGTGCGCTGTCATTAACTTTTGCATTTAACTTGCTAATCGATGCTTGCAGAGTCTCAGATGTAGCTCTTGGATATCTTGCAGTTTCTCTGAGCATTGCACAGTCTGACCTTGGAAGGAATTTACTGGGTCGTGTACTCCTGGGATAACTTTGGCATTGTGTTAACACATACCCAGCATGCTGCTAAAATGTCTTCTTTTACAGAGGTGCTCACAACTGATGAACTGATGGCAACTCATTGACTTTTGATAATCAGGACGTTGGCTGTTCCTTATCCTCCTAATTCGTATGGAGGCAATCAGGGTTTACTGAGTATTGTTCAGAAGACTGCATTGAATCCTATGAAAAATGTTTTTAAAGTGAATAGGTTAAGAGATATGTGAAGAAGATGAGATGTTTTCCTCGTACATGATAGGATAGTTTGTATAAATGTAATTTAGCTTCTCAAACTAAAACAATTATTGGTTTCTTAAAATGTTAATAATTAAATGTCAGCATGTGAGGCAGCTTGCTTACCTTAATCTGATCCTTAATTTGAGAGATCAAACTTGGAGCCTTGACTCATCTGTTTTTCATTCGTACTGACTGTTGTTGATCACATAACATGCTTTATTGTTTACAACAGTGTAACCTGTGAATACTAGAAGCTTCCATATCTCCTTGGGGTCCTCTGTAGTTTGTTTTCCAGCTAAATGTTCTCTGCCTTTTATAATCATATGCTTCCTGGTATATGATCCCTTTCATGTTCACCTGGGAAAACAAACCTGCCTCCCCACCCAAGTATCAGTTTAACAAGGCTGAACTTATTTATTAGACATGTTAGCTGGTTTTAAACAAGAGCTTTTTTTCTGTCCCAGTTTGCTTTGTTCGGTTTTATGGGGTGTAACAGTAGCAGCTCTTATATTGCTGATGATATTTTCAGGTGATGAAGCAGATGAAGGAGTTTGGCAATTCCATGGCTGACAGCAACAATGAAACTCCAAAAATGGGGGATCCACACTCTGTTTTCAAGGTTAGCCTCCACAGAGAGACATCGCTTCTGTTTATTTAGTGATTAAAAAGGACCAACTCTGCTCATTTTCAGCTATTCTTTAACTCAAGAAGCATTGTTTGAATCACAAAATAATCCTTATCTTATAACAGGCTCTGACATGGGAGGGCCTTCCGTGATCATTGTGTGCCCTAGATGCTCATATTTGCAGATATAATGTCAAACAGATCCAAGAGTAGAAACAACTGTGACCCTGAGTGTTCAGAGCAGTCGGTGCCTGAGCTTTTAACTCACTTATACCTACACTAAAGCCATAATTCTAATATTTTGACATGTGTAATATTTCTGTAATTACTTATAACTCATAACATAGAGTTTTGGTTTGGTTTTCCTCTTTTTCACTGAGGGAAGATGGACAGTCTTCACTTTATTTCAAAATGAATAATATGTAATGATAGTTCTGTTTTTTTTGTACAGTCATGTGATCTTGTGGTCTTCACTGATGCCAGTTTGAAAACGTATCAAATAATGCACGACTTCCGTAAGTGTTAAACAGTATCAAACATTTTAATCATTGTGGATCTGTAATGCTAATGTGACTGATACTTCTT